AATCCCAGTTAAATGTTTAGAGCATATTACCACAAGTCCACAAAAGTCATGTAAAAAATATTTATGTAAATCATCGGCAAGTGAGACCAGAAACATTCTGGAAAACAAACGACGAAAAAATGGATATCAAATGCCAAACAACTAATATTAACGACTCTGTTCCTTTTTGAAAGCAAATTGGGGCATTCACCTATAACAACACAACAATAATTGCCCCCGATCACAACATTTAGGGTAGGTTAATTTGCAGCGTATTGAATGTTTCGGGGGAGCTCGCATACCACCTAGCACCTTGTGGTGTTATATCGACCGTCCGGGGCAGACAGAGCGCCGCCGCCGTTTCAAACGATGGGATGCAAGCCGCTTCCAGTTGAGCCGTGTTTAGACATGTGATCGCTGCTCGAGCTAACAACTGCCGCCCCGGAGACATGGGGAATGGCATGAATAAGGCAAGTGTTGTCTTGCATGTCTTTCATCACATAAAATTCATACACACATCATCTCGTATCCTAAATATGCGAATTTTTGATTTTTTCAAGATGTAGTCGCTCCAATTTTGTTTTGTTTAAAGTATTTCCAATTGGCGGCACGGTTTGTTTGCCAATTAGAGGTTCATGTCAAAAGTGAAAATTGTTAAAACCATCTTGTTATCTTTTTTTCCACTGATTTAGTAATCCACATTTATTGTCAAATTAAAAATTAAAAATAGTCGTATCATTACTCGTACTTACAAAGAAAGATAAATTGTTTTATATCGTCGACAGCACATTGTAAATAGAATCTCCAACGTGAAGCATAAAATGTATGTATACTATAGGTGTATTAAGTTGAATTTTGTTGCACTATTATATTCTGTTGTTACAAATAAAATTTTATGTTATGTTTCAAATAATAATAATGGTTACGTGAAAACTTTGAAATCACATCAAAAAAACTTGAAGAACTTTTACATCCCCAAAAAGCTACTGTTTTGCAATAATTAAGATTAAGAATCAACCAGAAAAGGAACAGCAATAAAAACCATGTGTTTTTTTAATCTTTTGATAGTCTGAAAATTTTACAAAAATCAAGACAAATGTTAAATAGATTTTGTTTTCTTGCAACATTGATGTAATTTTTCACTGTTCTCTAACTACGTTTCTGCTACTAAAACTGCTCAATTTATTTAAAAATTTATTAACCAACATTCAACGATTACTGTGACAGAAACCCTCATTTACTTATTTTATTGTCAATTTAATTAAACATCATGCAATTGTATCACGACTTATTATAATTTTGCTAAAAATTGATCAAACTAGGTCGATTTAAAAACTGATGACCGGAACATTTAATTCCTTGGAATTGCGTTTCCACCAATATTCAATCGTTTATGCCTCTTAAAACAAATCTAGGAGTAGGGAGTAGAGATTGACTCTTTTTCTTTAAATTTATTGATTATTATTTTTAATTATTTTTATTGATCGAAAACCTAAATTACCTAACTTATTTATTTAGACAATTGAGTTTTGAAATGAAAGAGTATTGTTGTTGGCATCTTTGTTTCCGGCTTTATCGCATTCCCCGCCATTTCAGGGATCATCCGGATCGTTAGAATGGGACTTTTCAAAGTAATACGCATTAGTTGTGTTTACTGTTCACAAAAAATTTCAAATAAATATAACATAAAGTGGCCTACTTTTGATAAATAAATATAAAATTTAGGAACCTTCTTCAAAGACTTGTAATAAAATGAAACTCACATATGTCGTATTTACATTTGTTTACTCATTCGTAAAAATTTTGTCGTCAGCACTCAAAAAGAGCGACGAAATTCGACAGTACTTTGTCGCTCTGCTTGAGTAATTAAATAAGTTCAGTCAACATTTTTCGTAATAAATTGCTTCAACAACAAAGCAAGCTTTGAACATATCGGTGATTAATGAGTTGAAAGCTTTCTAATATCCACAATCGATTTTATATAATACATAAATTAATTTAGACACAAAATATTGAATGAAAATTTATGTTTTACAGGAAGTTATGATTTATTTTAACCCTAATTAATTCGCATTATAAGTTAAGGGTTGTGTAATAGGAAGTTATTCGTTTAAAATAGAGTGGACGTTTAGTAAGAAAATAAAGTGGCATTTTAAGCTCGCCATTTATTTCAGGAAACCGATACAATTTACAGTAGGTGTCCACTACTTTTCAGTGTGGAATTTAAACCGAAGTACAATAGATACTATGTGCCCCAGAACAATTTGTGTTTGTTTTAATATTTAGGAGTAAATATTCAAAGTTAACAAAGTAATGAACATTACGAACCCTCTTGAACGGCCATAAAATGAAATTAAAAAGATGCATAATGTCAAATGTACTAGGTGGGTTTATGTAGGTAGGTTTGTAACAGGTGTTCAGTAGAAGGATTTGGGGTAACGATAACAAAAAGTTGGCAATGAAATCTCGAAAGTTTGAAATTTTGTTTTAAGACTAAAAGTTTAAAAAAGGCAAATCATAATGATTTCTAAAATATAAAGTTAGTGATTTTTGAAAATTTGCTAACTTGTTAATTTTTCTTTTTCTTTAATTAGTAATAATAATTTAATAAATTGGAAATTACTCGTTTACAAGGTGTTTACGGTCTTGGAGTTGCAAATAGACCTAGTAGTTGAAGAGTGCAGAAGTAGTGTCCGAGAAGAAAACTCACACGCAATTGTTATTATTTAAGTCTGCCTATATTTGCTTAAATTTTATGGTTTTAACTTACCAAACTACTTTATGAGGAATTTCATGAGTGTGGTTGTCAAACTATTGTTACCAAAGCGGCCGTTGAAACAACCTCGAAGGTTTCTTTATCGCTAAAGGCCCAAAAAGTTGCCTCTATTGCACCATAAAATTCAAGCAAATATAGATAGACTTTAAGAATCGTTTCCAAAATATTGATTTGTTTTTTTTGTTGATTTTTTTCTAAATTTATGGACATGGATCGCAAATGTTAAAATAATAAATTGATTGTCGTAATTCTTATTTACTGTGAAACACAAGGTAAAGCCACTAATGGCCATTGTTGCAGCCGATGCAGCAATTCTCAAACAAATAATCGAAAATAAATTATCTCCTTTCAAAACATGAATTTTTATTTTACGAGTACATAGCATATTTGTTTTTTTATATCATCTCCTTTAAATATCAACCGCAAAATAATCAAAATCATTTATTAATATTTTTTGTCAATTGTTTCGATTTTTCAGAGTTTTTTAAAAAAATGAGATTAGGCTTAATATTAGTCACTCAACAAAATATAATATTCAAAAGTACAAAAAAGTTATGATAACAGACAAGATTTTCTATACATATAGTTGAAGATGTTTGAAGAAATCTATAGATGTTATGTCTTCCTGAATCCTACAATCAAAGAAATAAAGAGATTTACCAAAGTCAAAACTCCTTAACAACATTGTTATTTGTGTTGAGATTTGTTGTAATGGAAAAGTTGGTTTTTGGTCACAAACAATATGTGCTTTAGAACTTTTCCAAAGTCAGTTTATTGAACTTAACCTACTTTGAGACAAAGATCCACATTTTATACTTAACGAGGTTATTGATTATTCCCTTGTTATGGATAATAAAATCCGAGTCTTATTTGATATGCAAACAATTAAAATCCTTAAACAAGCACGAAACAGTTCTGCAAACAAGGTAAATTTTGAATTTTAAATGCAATAAGAAAAATCTAAATAAAAAGATCTGCATAAAGTGATTTATTTTCTAAAGATCATACAGACTGTAAATTGTAAATGAAATAAGCTCACACTTTTTTAGTAAGAAATGTAGCTGTCGTGTAGATAGCTTCATTCTTTGTGAAACGTTAAACCTTTGTAACTTTTTTCACTAAAAATAGTTTAATCGATTTCCATATGCTTAACAAGCAATAAGTAATTTAAATACGAGGAATTATTTTAGTCTCGTTAAACAAGTAACGAAATATCAGCTATTTAAGGCACAAATTGTTAAATGGTCAAGGGAGCTAGTATTAAATATTGATGTAGGTTTATTGAACGGATTGGTTTCATTGACCTTACCTGACCTGCTTGTGTTTTGCTCTTGATGGAACTTTTATTCGAATCAAGACGACGCTTATTACTTTATTATAAAGTCCTTAGGGGATTTTTCTTCGGTAATAATACAGTAATTTGATTTCATTGTGCGATAACATCATTATAAGTAGCGGAGCTACGCTGCCACTTTTGCAAGTAATTTAGAATTTTATTGCCATTACAATAAGTGTAAAGCTTGTCTCTTTGAACGGTAAACCTTCCTCGCTGTTAAAGTGTACCTGTAGGGAAAACTACTAAAAAACAAATCCATTTACAAATACGTAGTTAAATAGGTTTTTTAGTTAAATTTGAATTTTATTAAATAATAATTAAAAACAGTAGATTAAAAACAAAAACAAATTATGTCTCCAGACCAATTTTTTATAAGAATAACAAAGGGCATCAGGTGGGCAGTAAATTAAAGACATCCATCACGTCGTTAGTCGTTGCCTCTAACGAAAACTGATTGCCTAATTTATCTAAAAAAGCACTAAAATGTTTAAAAGTGTAATTTTTTAAGTTTTATGCTGCCAATTTTTAATTATGATGTTAATTAATGTCTAATTTATCTAAATTTCTACATCTTGAAAATCAATCAATGCTGAAAAAATATTATTTAGTTCTTATACCTATTGTTACCTACTATAATAAACGAGAACATTCTAAAATGACAAAATCAGTACAACGCTTAGGTCGTGTCTATACAGCGTGATTCAAATCACTCGGGTGTTTTTAGAACAATCAAATTACTTATAAATTAAGGAAGGTAATTTTGTGTTTTATTAGTAAGGGACGTTAAATCATGCACTTAGAATATTACAAAATGAATAACATTTTAATAGGAATAATAGATAAAACGTGCATAAAACGTCTGTCAAATGTAGAAATTTTGTGGAGGGGTAAAGTTGGCAAAAGCACACAAACGTTTGCAGGTAAATCTGAGATTCTGTTAACGTTATCTATCACCACATAATTGTCCGACCCTTTTGGAATCACCGTGTATGTATTGATAACTAACATCTTTTTACATATTTTTGACAGTTTTTGTTATGATTTCTAATCGACTTCTTCTGACAGTTTTATCTTTTTATAGGTAGACGTATCACAAAAATGTTCAGTTTTCTTTGTGATGGCGACTCTCTTAAAAATGTTAATAAATCTCAAATCTTAAGCTTTGGATGTTCTAAGGTCAGTTTATTATCACTTCAAGCAATACAGGTAAAATAATGAATTGATTAAAAACAATAAACATCATATCTTGTTTTGATGCACAAAAACGACCTTTTATGAAATATGAAAAGGTAATTTGTATAAAGAAATTTTGTATCGTACTACTATTATTATGAGTAATGTCTTGAATAATAGTTTCATATTTGTTAAACTAAGTGCAAGAAACAATGTTTTGGTAATTAAATGTGTGTTTGTTTCAGGTGTTGCCGGGCCTTTATGTGGGAAATTACAGGGACTCAAAAGACGCTAACCAACTAGCCAAACACAACATAACACACATCCTTGCCATCCATGACTCTGCGAAAAGAATACATTCCGTAAGCAGTCAATAAATAAGTAGTTTAAACTTAAATGTTCAGGTATGCCTAGATAGTAATAGACATATCTGAGAAGAAAAATTTCATAAGTAAACAAATAATTTAGAAAGCTGTTTCAAAAAAGGAAGGGAAGGCTTAGGTTAGAAGTTTCGTGCCCTCTTTTAATGATTTATGACTTATGAGTGATGAATTTATTAAAAAAAAATATGAGATGCTAATTGATTCTTGAAAAGGGAAAAGAAAATTTTATTTTAAAAAACAATAATACTTGTACAACATCAAGTATATCAGTAGATAGGTACGCAATAAAATATAATATTAAACAATTATTATCAAATGCGCTGTATAGATCAATGTCTTCAGGCAGTTGAAATAAGTTAGAAGTTTTAGCTGAGAATATTTAAGAGTTGTGAGAAACTCACCCAGAGTTTCTGCAGTTGTTTAGATAGCAGTGTTCATAAATTAAGAAAATTTTCCAAAGAAGTTTCATTTTCACACTGTTTAAAAACAAACCAACGACAAATCAAAAGCTATTACAACACAATCAATAATATAAACCGTAATTGTGAATTTAGTCATCAATAAGCCCTCAAAAAGCGGTTGCAAACTTTTGGCTTCAGATCTGTGTTTGAACAAGTTAGAAGGTAGAGACATACCTACTAAAAGTCCGCAGTTCTTCGAGGTGAACGGGGCGAAGGGGGGCATCAAAAATATACATACAATGTGTCATTTCATTATTTTGGTTAGTACTTTTATTTTATTATTTTGGTTTCTCAAGAACGGTCCGCGTTATGAAAAAAAAATGGTTATGTACAAAATTAAACTTTAGAAAAGATGGTCTTCTCGTTTTTATTGTGTATTTGATAGTTCTCAAGATATCTACTAGCAATACCGCAAGTAATCTCAAAAAAAAAAAAACGTGTCCCACTTTACATCACCTAAATCCCAAGTTTACGGCAAAAGGGATTGTGATGAAATGTTGGCTGTAAATTGCAGTTTGTACTGCAGGTCTCTGCAGCTTGTAGAAAATAATCTTTTGTAGTCTTTTCGTATCTGTCTGAGTCCCTTATCTCCTTCCAAGAAAGTGGGGTTATGTTCCATTGTCTCACATTTTGCATCAAAGTGCAAAAAAAAAAAATTCACTTCTGTATTCTTGCCTCAAATTTATGATGTTTGTAAGCACACAAAATGGGTAAAATACTAAAATTTCTATTTCTATTTTAAGGTTTTATTTCCTAATCAAGTACAACGAAACGTAGGTGCAAATTACTGCAAATAGCGTATTAAGGGCACACACATAAGGACCATAAGGGTCAATAACACACATAACATAAAATTGGAATTATTTAAATGAATAAATGCAAATCTGAATTAACCAGTTTTGGTACATTTTTCAATGAAATTATTAGTGTAAGGTGATTGGCTTCTCCATGGTTACCCACATTATAATAATGGACGACATCAAACGGACTAATCACAACATTGCATTAAATTTTGAATGAATCCAAAAATCTAAAGTGATTGGTTTTTTTCATTATTATAATGGCCGACCTTAAACGGCCCAACACAATGCTTATAATTTTTACAACAATCTTTACGTTAATTCATTGATAGTTTTTTAGAGCGTGCGAAATTTCCTAGCGAAAACTATTTGAGAAAGTTTTGAGAAGATTTTACAAGCAAAAAAGCATAAAAGACTCCTTCCTGGTGCCCCCTTCCGCCCCCCGCTTTATTTTAAGTAACTACACTCATTATGATGAAACTTACTTAAAATAGGAGCGATTAAGATTAATTATTATGCTGGCTTCTTTTAAATTTTGTACTCGTGGTTTCAATGTCTTTCGATTATAAAATAAAACAAGTGTAACACTAAATCGCTCGAAGTGGTGTTTTTATGATAGAGACAAAACAAAACTTTTTTGAAGACCGCTGTGTTTTGTTGGGTCTATAATTGAATTGCTCAAAAATAATCCAACTAAACGAGTAATTTGTATGTATGCTCAAAATATATCATTTAAATTCGCTTATAAATTCACACCTCAATAAAGCCATTCAAACTTAATTTCTTCAGTTAATGAGAATTATTTATTAATTGTATTACCGTTGTGCTTTTCATGATTGTCAGGGGAATAGAATACATTTAAAAGACATTTTAACGAGCAATTTACACTGCCACACATTTATGTCGAATTATCATACATTTATTCTAGATTGTTGGCAAAAGCTACACGCAATCGATACATTGCCATTGCAATAAAATGATTAAAATGGCTGTAAATAAGATACTGTTAACAATGGTCGGAGTCTCGTACATTCTGTTTCCGTCAACGCATTTAGTTCGAGATTTAATTTAAGTTGAGAATGGGAGCTTCATTTTCTTTTTCAATCGCAACCGCTCGAGTAAATTAGCATTATGATTAAAATTTCTTCAAAATGGGCAAACATTTACAAGATATTTCTTTAATTTTAGAAATAATTTTAGGAAAGAAAAACAGTTGGAAGACGCTGTTCTGTATAAATCCTTCAGAAAAATAGTATTATTATATCAGTTTAATGAGTTTTAAAAGTAATTAAGGCCAATTTCAGTTAACTTATTTAGTTACAAAACAAAAATTGTGTTATTATAGAATCCGCAGCATTCATCTGCTCAAATAAAGCAGGCATAAGTCTTTATTATTACCTAAAATAATAAGTTTTATTTATTTTAACTTTACACTTTAATTTAACAATCTTTTTAAATAAATCTAATGTCATTTGCGTAATGTACAAAAATGGTGGATGCGCCGGGCTACATTAACAATAACTTCCTAAAACAAATTTTCTAATTTTTTTTTACCACTTTTTTGTAATAAAAACAGCAGTTAAAAAAATTGATTAAATCAAAATTTCACTTATATGACCCCCTAACGAAATAAATCCATAGATTTTTGGTACTACCATTAAAAATCAGGTGTAACTAATACAAATTACTCACGTAATACATCACATAACATTTTAAAACCTTGAAAACTGAAACTTTTGAAAATATTATGTTATTAAAAATCGAGCTGTGAATTGAAACACTCCAGATAACATTACTTTATCCTTTTTTTAGGATAAGCACTATCTTTGCGTGATGGCTTCGGATTCTCCAGATCAAAACCTGACTCAATATTTCTCTATATGCAACGATTTTATCCACGCGGCGAGACTTCGAGAAGGCAACGTTTTAATACATTGGCAAGTATCAGTTCGTTGTTTTCTTTTTGTTACCTTATTTCCTAGAGAACTGACGAATTCGATCGATATTTACGTGAACCCTTTTCCAATTCCTGACATAACAAACCAGATTGCAGAAATTTTGTAATAAAATATGCGTTCTAAAAATACTGATGTTTACTCTGGGAGAATGAAACTATGATTAATTTGGATTGTTCTTTTAGTTTGGCTGGAATGTCTCGCAGTGTGACAGTGGCAGTGGCGTACATCATGTCTGTAACTAACCTCAACTGGAAGGAAGCACTGAAAGTCGTTAGAGCTGGTCGCGCGGTGGCCAACCCCAACTTGGGCTTCCAAAAGCAATTACAGGATTTTGAAGCCACGCGGTTAGCGAAGGTAATGTTTCCCATTCGATTTAAAGAGTTGATTTGGGCAATTATTATCCTTAATTGAGTTTCAAACTTACTTAGCATTACACACACTTTTTTTGTTAACAATTTAACACGAATACAAGCAGTTTTTGTCCATAAACAAATTTCTATCGTGTTGGTAATTTTAACAATTAATTTAACAACATTTACTTGATCGTAATTAAATTTCTAACCGCATTAACTCTCCTTGTCGGACCTAAATGATAATGGTCAAACACAAACGCAAAGGCAAACTTTCAGTATCAAACGTGCTGAATCTCAACATCAAAGTATTGAATTGAGACTGTTTCAGCAACTTCATAATAGCACTGATTGGTGTAGCTAAGAGGGCAAAACAAGCAGACGCAGCCGAATATTATCAGATCCTTTGTGAAAATAAAAATTAACTATTGAATATTTGTTTAATTAAGAATCACCTCTGACGTCTAAACCAGTTCACAAAATAAAATCGTTATTACTATAGCATAAATTACAACAACGTAATTTCTCCTTATTTAAAATACTTATTAACGCAAAGCGATATTAGATTGTTTCCAACGCACGAACATTCATAATGGTTCGACTAAAATTATTTTCGATTTTTTTATTAAAAATTCACCTAACTAGAACTCAACCTACATCGGCAACACACTTTATCAATCTCCTGAATAATTTAGAAAATGTTTGCGCAAAACACATTTTCAAAACAATTTTATCTGATTTGAAAATCCTGTGTTCTACTTTTCTATGATTTGACAACGGTATTTGCGTGTCAAATTATCAAAAATATATAAATTTGTATGCCTATAATTTTTATCATTATGTGTCAAGTTCAAATATTTTTTTCTTTTCTTGTAATAGCTAACCTAGACACCAAAAGATAAAAAAAAAGATTTGCGTGTTCTACTAATGTAGATTGATTACTCCTAGCAAAGACAACATTTTAAAAGATCTTTTTGGCAGTTTAGGATTTTCTTCAGTTGGATTTTTGTAAGAATATGTATGATATGTTCAAAAATTGTGAACCACTGGTTTATTAATTAATTATTATTGGCGTTAACTATTATTTTGTGAAGTGAAGAACAGACTTGTGTTTTAAACTTTACCGGTATTTCCTTGAGTTAAGTTATTTAACTCCACTGACAAAAAAATATTTCGGGTGGCATCAGGTGTTGATCCTAATTTGCGTTTTGCGTATTTACTTAGGGTGTTTCTCCTAGGAGCGCCTTAATTAGGTAGGGCACAATTTTTCTATGCCTCACGCAATGCAGAACAAAATCAATCAACCAACCAATAAAGTTAATCTCACACAAAATTGAAATGAAAATGATTCAGGGTGTGTGATTTTGACTTATGAAACTAGAATGCAAATTAAGTACTTTGAGTAATGGAAGTTGCATGTAGATGATAAACAGGTTTTATACAGTAGGTATAAAGAAATACGGATTATGGATTATACAGTAAAGCATAATTATAAAAACAAATTGCTTTTAAGGTTTTAAAAATTTCAATAAAGGCTGATGTGTTATTATCGTTTCTAAAAAAAGTTCGGTACATTTATTTCTCTTGCAACAAGAGGAATGTTTACGGAGCGATTACATTTTTGATGTGCTGTTTTTTTACGACACGTTTTTGTGGAAATGCAATAAAAATACACAATTCTCTGAGGTGTAATAGCAGAACACCTGAAACTTTGTTATGGTAAAAATTTTTCGTAATTCTAAATTCTGTTATTAATCGTGCAGCGACAAACCCGTAAATGATAACTCATCATTTTTTCGAGAATAACTCCAGTTGTATTTCCTGATTTAAATATGTTGTGAGTCCCAGATAAGAATATTTCGCTCTACATCTGGGTAGCTGTTTATGAAAATTATTTAAATCTGAAACACAATCGATTAAATATAAAGTCTGAGTAAATGTGCATTCTAGGTAGAAAACCGTATTCATACCATTCATTATTCGCTGACACATCCTGCATACCTTTTGTCAACGAAGTGATAATATTGAAAGACATTATTTGAATTCAGTTTTAGATATAGGGCACAAAAATGATGTTAGACTTTATTTTATTATTTTGCTTAAACGAAAAAGTTATACCTACGATAAAACGAATAAGTTTAGCCAGCGTACCTGGTGTTGCCATGGACTGATTAACTAGAGCAACGTGTACTGAAACAATTTTAGAAGCGATAAGTTATAAACATGTAACATGGAAGCTCGAGGCCTAATGTGTAACAATAAAAGTAATAGTTTGTCATAGTTTTAGCGAATTGTAGTTGGAGTAAACATTTTTTTTATTCATACCGTCTATCTTAATTTTTTTCAGATTGCAAGTCATTGAAAATATGTATTATTGATCTAGTCGAGAATTATAATATTTTTTTCTGATCAAAAAATTGTTGTTTATAGAAGTAAATTTAATGTAAGTATTGATTTTTTAAATAACCCATTAAATAGAGTAGGTACATACCAGGTGAATAAAAAGTATGGAACCAAACCTTTTTCGCTTGAACAATTCATTTTTTGAAAAAACTAATTGAGTGATAAAGTAAATACTATACAAATGTGACAAATAAAATAACGTGAATAAAATTTTTCGAAATTTTCTTTTGTTTTCGAGTTCTGCATTTTTTTTTAAAACAACCCATTATAAAACCTTTTTTATATAAAGGTTAATTTATATTGAAAAAAAAATTCATATAAATTCTGCCATTTTGACAAAAAATCGCGAAACTCAAAAACTAAACAAAATCTCATTCTCAAAACACGATTACATACCTACTATTATTTTTTTTAATTATTATTTTCTGAAACAACGCTTGGTTCCATACTTTTATTCACCCTGCATATCAGTTTACAAGAAAAATAATTGTTTGTTTTCTTAAGAGGCATTATTACAACAATTTTACTGTTTTATTTGGCAATAAGAAAAACATTTCTTTCTGTAATAGCTGCCATATTCATAAATCCAAACTAAGGACATTTAAAAAACGCTTATGTGCTTTTCATGTGCACCATACGTATGCTAGAAGACCTTTAAATAACGACAATAAAAACACATTACTTACATATTAATTTGTATAACTTGTTAACAGCACAGTAAGTCTATTCTAACACAAATTCTCGTGTATAAGACGGATATTCAATTAAATTTGGTTTCATCAATATTTGACTTGTAACAACATTAATTTTAATTAAACTTTATAAGTACTTTTAATAAGACGTTATTAAATTAAACAGTTGACTTGTATATTATGCGATTTTCTTGGATTTTCGTAGAAAAAAAAATTGTCTTTAGTTAATATTTAAATTGTTAACATTTTTTGCTTTAATAGATGCTTAAAAATCACCTTTCTCTTATTTTTCAACTAAAAATTGTTTGCAAATTTAATTTCTCTCAGTTTTTATTTTAAAACAATCAAAACCTTTCTTCTGAGCCAAACAATTTGCGGAATAAACCCCACTTACTTTATTAAACATAATACAAAATACATAAAGCTTTGCTTACACAATGGCTAAGTACAACACGTTTTAATCTCCTGTTATTCAATCCTAAATTCGTAAAGTGTTACTTAAACAGAACTCAGGATAAAATCATATTTACTTAGGCTAGTATTGACAAATAATTTCTAAAACCGTAAAACTCAAACGCTTGTCCACGTAAGATAACCCAAATTAATGAGGTTAGTTTGTGCGGTCTGTTAAAATTTACACTGTGAGTTCCTGTAAATTAGAAACTACTGAAATTAACCAGAAATCGTAAACCACAATTAACTCACATGTGAGGCGTGGGATTTCAACGTGCCAACCTTTTGTTCATGATTGTTCAGAATTTCCACATAATTCTAATAGAAAGTTTTTAATTCTAATATTAAATTTAATTTTGTTTCATACAGGGTTGAAAAATTTTAATCATCGAGGCGTAATAATGGTGGAGGTGCCGGGTTACTGTGTTAAAATTTTAATGAAAACGGAATTTTAACAAAAACATCACTGTTTTCGTTGTAATTTGTGTTTAATAATGTAACAGAAAATAACCTGTTGAATCCATATTTTCGCGAGTGGTCTCACCGCTCGTTACTTTTCTTTACTGTCCAATGAGAGTATTAAGCACAATACTAAAAAGGGTAAATTTACAGGAGCGCCGCCGTCTCAAAGAGCGATATCCAAGTTTAGCTTTAGTAAATATAGATAGAGAACAATGTTCTTTAATGCTCAATAACTACGAGGAGTTGCTGCAATCTCGATCGATCTGTGAAGGTAGATGTGCTTTGGGTGAAGAATGTCCAACGGGAATCTGCAGATCAAAAAATCAAAATCCAGCGGCCCATCAGCCACGTTCGAGGCGACAGAGTAGAAGTACAAGATCGCGTTCTGAAATGTCCCGAAGTCCAAGTAACACTAGCGCTGCTAGTACTAGCACCAGACCTCGCTCGGGTCCCGCAGGACTTCGCAGCTATACAGGTGCACTATACATATATGTTGTGATGGTGAGAGATAAAACTTCTTCTTGTGCACTTTTTTACGTCTAGCAGCACTAGTTTTCAGTATTACAACACTGTTTGAACTTTAACAGAGATATTTTCAGGTTCAGCTCCGCCATCTCGGACCGGTTCCCGCGTAGATATATCTTCCATAGGTGTTTCTGGAACCCTTACAGCTCCGACCACCCCTCAAACAAGCCCTCCAATATCTCCGAAACGTAGAGGAACAGTCGCGGTACCTCTGGCTGTGAAAGAAGACGATTTTGATTTATAGCCCTCGCCACAAGAGGATAAACTCCTAAAAAATTCTAGAGGATAAGGTAGTTTTTTGATGCGCATGGCAGGAGGTTAAAAAGGGTGCAAAATTTTTGTTGGTTGTGATTTTTGAATAAAGAATTTATATACACTCTGGCCACTAGAAGCTTCGTGCTTATATATTATGAGGAATCACTGCTTATATTCCATCCGTGTCGTGTTTAGAGGAGTAGATCCACGTTAGGGGCGTAGAAAAAACATGTGGTATAATGTAACTCATCATATCATCAACCCATTTTGATGACTGATTTTTTTTACAAACTATAATTACAATCATTTTTAATAAATTATTTAATAGATGTTACTTATTATGACGGAGTTAAAAATTCGTCCATTTACATATTGCATCGCAGTCGCATTTCTTACCATTTATTTAGGATTTTCTTTTATTTTCACTTGAGAAAAATTCACGGTGACAACAATTATTTTCAATAAAATAATACGTCTACAAGCGTATTTACCTTCCTAAGTAATGTCAGGTTTATTCAAAATATTTCATTATTATTTTTTATATGCTTCAATTAGAACTTGTTTTTTTCAGAATAAATGACGAGTATTTGGTTGTACTTTCCAATCAATACCAAAAATTACATGCAAATTTGTTGACATAGTTTACAGTTTTATTAATAATACTGTTGTTAAATATGCCAAAAAGACATCATTCAGTCAAACATATAGCGAAGTAGTGACGTCATCGTAAGAGTCGTTTTATATATACACCTGCGAGTATATTTACAAATAATCTATTAAAATAAAGTAAAACAACACAAATAAATCGGAGCTTTTTTAAGTAACTTTACCGACGAGTACCTATATTAAATCAGTCTCATATCAGATTTGTTGAAGCTTCATACAGTGAACAAAACACAATTTAATAGTAGTAGTTTTTTGCTGATCTTTTTACAACTTATTGGGCTCAATAAGTTCGTTAAACTTGAAAAAATTATTCTGTTTTTGACGGTAACTCATTCTGATTTGTAAGTCCAATGCAAAGTTGTTTTACTAAATTAAAAAAAAAACCTTTACATGTTTATAATGATGAATATTTTAATGTTAACAAGAGCAATGACTTTTTCCACACTGGAATTAGAGATAGCATGCTCAAAACCAAGCTTTGTGAAAATAATTAAGTAGCACAAATGAATATAGTGATAAAATACATATTTTACTAGCGAAGTAGGTTGTTGTTCATGGCGCTGGTCGCCAGATTTATTGCAATAATGTACACATTTGTTATCATAATTTATTGTGCAGTTTAATAATTAAACAACTGCACTATAACTATATTTATGTGTATGGAATTATGTAATAAAAATATGCCACTTTATTAAAATACCATTCAAAAATTTAAAAACTGGTAGCAGTAAAGCAATGCTAAGTAATAAATTTTTATTGGTTTGTGTGATAATAGTGATATTTTTTTACATCAGCAACAAAAATTGTTATTTTTAGCAATGTTGATATATAAGTAATACCCCGTCATATACCTGCATTATGTCTCTACCTAGTAAACAGAATGTATGGAACCATACGTTTTTTGCTTAAACCATTAATTTGAAACATTTTTTGTTAAAAAAATCTAATTGATGAATGATAAAGTACTATAAAAATGTGTCGTCTCTCAAGAATAAAATTTTTTGAATTTTTTTTTTCCTTTTTCGATTCTGCCGAACTTTTAATTTTTTCAAATCCATATAAAACCTTTTTATCATTTTATTCAATCTCTGTAGAAAATAGTTTTTATGTTTTGAAAAAAATTGCCAAAACAAAATTTCATGCCCAAAACACGATCACATTTTTATAGCGCTTTAATTTTTATTATTATTTTCTGAAGGCAAATGGTTCAAAAAAAGCTTGGTTTCATAATTTTTGATAACAATGTATACCATATTTTATAAACTGAAATCCGTACACAAAAATAATAATTATCAGTTAGTAGTCAAACACTATTACGGAGAAATTGGTACTTATTGTAAAAGTAAGTACAAGGCAGAAAGGAATAAAATATCAGTGAAGGTGATTTTATGGTCTTTAAATACGACTTTCTTATTTATCTTTGAAGTACCATAATTTTACATTCGCTGTTTTCTTATGTGATATAGGGAAACAATCAAGAATTGCTGTAAACAGATGTTAAAGTCAAGAGTACAAAATAATTTTATAACGTTTATTATTGTATTTATGACGCTTTGTACTAGAGGCATAAATGCACTCACTCTGTTTTTTTTTACATTTACAATTCTATTCTTCACACGTTATTGTGCAAATAATGTAAAAAATAGCCACGCAATATAATGTAGAAGTGCCCTTATTTGAGTTGCTATTTTTATATTTGAATTATTATATATTTAATACTACAGACCTTAAAAATACCTTGTCAATTCACACTTAGAAGAAATTCATTATCAATAATGAATCAGTGGTCCACAAAAAGTGATATACCTACAATGTAAATATGAATCCGCGTCCCAATCCAACTTAAATTATATTATTAAATTTTAAACACATTTTTCTAATGTGAAGTGACAATGCTTGGTCATACAGATATAGAAATGTTATAATTTACCAAAGTATTAATAAAGAAAAAAATTAAAAAGTTTTGTTTCATTTCCGATATTTCTTTTTTGATAAAGCTTCTAAAACTTATTTCGTTTCAGGTATTTATTTGTAATAAAAATCATTTTATCAATTTGTTTATTGCAATGAATCTTTTAAGTGTTGTATAAACTCTAGACAATACTTTATTCGCAACAATAAATAAAAAACAAATACAATACAGAATGTAAATGCCTCAAAACTGGTTTAAGTGGCCTTGTAATACCTGCAGCACGTCTGGTTGTTAACTTCAAGTTTAATTAAACCTTCCAACCAAATCTTCTATTTCCGCATTCAACTGAGGGTTCATCCAGTCCAAACTAATATTGTCCAAATGATTATCAAAATCAATTAGCTCATATTCATTCCTTTCTAAAAGATTAGAACAGATATCCAATGTTCTGTCTGGTTTTAAACAAATGCGATTTGTATCTGATGGCTTGTAACTACCATCTATGAACTGCGCCACTCTTAAAGCAATGTTATCCAAATTAATGCCCAGTTTGCAGTTGTCAACCTGAAAATTACCATTTTCTTTTAAGAAAAACACAAATGAAAAATTATTTACAACAACGAGACAAGGTGATGGAAAATTCGAAGGTAGTTTTTCCGATATTCGATGACTGGCTTTTTCAAAAGAACATTCTCTCAAATTCTCGAAAGCAGTGTAGTAACCCGATATCACTAGCCCTTTTTGTGAAGCAAGTTCGTCAATCTTTAAAATAGAAATTAGCGCTAGTGCTTGTACAAATATAATTTAACCAGTTTAACAAACCTGCATCAAGGCAATCTCAGCCATTGGTGTTAAATTAAGGGCGATATGGAAAAGGGGGACAGCATCCACAAACTCTATTTCCTTACTTTTAGCTGCCGACGACTTCGATAATAAAACTCCATTTACGGAGCAATGAGGGTACTTCGCCGCGTGTAATATTATTTTACAATAGGCTTTGGCTGAAAATGTTATGTCAGACATGACTGTTGGATTTATTTTTATTAATTGATTAATAATTTTAAGGTTATGACACTTATGAGAACGTCAAGCAATTATCAACAGCACCACCAATCTAATAAAAAATAATAATTTTATTAAATTTGTAAATAATTACGAGATCAAAAAATATTGACGTTAACACACTTTTAAATTCATTTTCAACCCAAACTGCATCAAAATTTAGATTAAAAAGTACTCTAAATGTAATTCATTTCGATTTAGGTACGCTTTTTATTGTGCCGATGTTGGCGTCTTGAATGTTACGTCATATAAACACATGTCAGAAAAGTCAATTTGACGTTCGTGTAAAAACACTACTTATCGCCACCAAAATGTAGTTTTCCACAATGAATAACAACAACAAACAAAACAAAAAAGTTGAAGAAATTAAGCATATATTCCTTGGTTTGAACAGAGAATTCATAAAGTCTGGTTTCAGTACAAAAGAACTCCAAAATGCTTGCCTACCCAAATGTTCAAAACACACAAATTCAGCTTTATTTATAGCATTTTTATTGCTGGCGTTGTTGTTGGCAACTTCTTACGAATATGGACTGTTTACAAGTGCCATTAATTATTTCCTAGGAGTGCGGTGTATAGTCCCAAACAATTATTTTGTTTGGGAAGCTACAAGACCAGTATCTAACTGTAACTTTTGTAAAGATGTTAATGAACCTCTTGTGCTAAAGAATGTAACGCGAGAAGAATTCGCCCCATATGCTTACAGTTCAAGACCAATCATAATAAAACAAGCTTTTCTTCATTGGCCAGCAATGAAGTATTTTGATTTCCATTTTTTCAAAGAATTGTACAACAGCATATCAGACTCTTACAAAAGTGTCGACGAAGAATGCCAGTTTCTTCACTTTAAGTCAAATTTTATATCAATTCGTGATGTTTTCGAAATGAGTGAAGCAAGGGTCCAAAATAAACCAGGTGAAAAATCTTGGTATGTAGGGTGGTAAGAATTAAACTAATTATTATAATACTGTAATCGCTAGCTATTAAATATTTAAAGGGGAAACTGCCATCCACAAATATTAGCCGAAATGAGAAAGTATTATCCCAAACCTCACTTTTTACCAGAAACTTGCGAAATTCCATCTAAAGAATACGTTTTCATGGGATATGATGATGGTGCCACAATGCATGTAAGTTTTAAATTATTTTAGAAAAAACGCAGTCTCATTTTAATTTTTTAGCTTGATTTTATTAATAGACTGATGTGGCAAGCTCAGTTGAAGGGATCAAAAACCTGGCATCTGATTCCACCACCGGAATGTGAAGATTCTTGTTCACAATTTTCATTTTTGGTTGAACCTGGAGACGCAGGTAGTTTATTTAAGCAATAAACACTCAATTGGGAATGTTAAAAAATTATTTTAGTCTTGGTAGACACGAGAGTTTGGTATCATGGAACACAAATCACTCGAGGACAATTCAGCCTTTCTGTTCAGTCAGAATATGGGTAATAGTTCCCCCCCCCTACAGTGGCAGCTAAAACATAAATTCTCGAAAAGTCTGATTTGCAGTGCCAATTTAGTCAAACTTCAACATAATGAAGTCCCAATAATTCTTCTCATATTAATTTTTGCTAGTCTGGTTTTACCTAATGTATTTTGTTACCATATTTATCCATTAATTTTATTTCTAATAAGTCACAAGTGGGTTGTAAGAAATGACAAAATTAATTAAATTAATCTATGTTTATATTAATTGGTCTTGTTAACAGTGTAAAAATCTGCAATAGGTTTAGATAATTCGATTGCGTTATTTTTCATTATTGCTTTAAAATTGCCCCATTGTGATAATATGTTTGAATTTTATGTTTCCAAAATGAAAGAATCTAATAGGACTTCTTTCATGAATCTACTAATAAAGTGCCATTTATTGTAAATTGTCCGTAGTTTTAGCAAAACTTAGTCGTACACTTGAATACTCTGTAGCCAAAGTTCTATTATATCTATGTTTTTAGATTGCAGTCATAATTTATCATACCAAATGATGTTTTAAATAATTATTGAACGCACTTATTTATTTTGATCACCTTATTGTTATCGATAAATTTTTAATAAAGAAAATAATGCTAAATCCTTTCCATGTTTAATTTTTTGAATTTACCGCGCGTGTAAATGTCAAATTGAACACATGTTTTAGGCAAATTGCCAACATAAATATTGACAAAAAAATTTGCTACTTGGGCATTTTCCCGTAACGGATTTCACAAAAGCTTACGTTTTTTGCCGATTTTATCGAAACCAAGCACGTGCATTCGTGGTTTTTGTACTCCATCTAGTACAATTCTTACCTCACTCGTGTCACATTTTGGTGTTCATTTCAAGATGGAGTGTGTAGGTAAGTCTCACATTAAAGTCCCATTTATTCAAATTAATTCGATTCTTGTCTAGTATATTTTATATAAATTTGAAGCCCTTTGTTCAGTGAACTGCAGTTCCGAAAAATTTCCTAATATGTGATTTAACTTTGTCGAAATTCTTGCAAGTCATTATCTGTCAAACAAGAAAGTTATCTGCCATACGTTCTTTTTATCCAAAAAATTGTCATTCTGACTATTTAAATATGAAGCGTGGTTTTTGTGAGCTTGTAATAATTTACTGAAATGGAAATTTACTATTATTTATTTCAGCTAGCGAAAATGATAGCAAAATTTCAAATATTTCTGAGGAAAACATAACCAAAGACGAAAGTGATAAGTTAAACGAGCCTTCAGAATGTAAAATTCCTAAAACCGAAGACAGTGAAACGAAAGAATGTAAATCAAATGAGGAAGGAAGCGAAGAAATAGAAGTTAAAATAATTTATAACAAAAAAAAATACGATGTCAGTGCGCCATCAAACACTACCATTGCTGATTTTAAAAAAATACTACAGGGTCTTTTAGGTACGTACTAGGCCAAGTGATTCAATTTATTCACGTTTTTATAATTTGTAGGAATTCCTGATTCTATGCAGAAATTAATGTATAAGGGATTATTGCAAGATAATCAAACTTTAAGTACTGCTGGAATTACAAAAGGTTCTAAAATTATGTTAGTAGGTTCTACTTTGAATGATGTTTTGGCTGTGTCTTCAGTTAGTAAACAAGTAAATAGCTGACTCATTTATGAATTTCAAAAAAATATATTGTTTTTCTTAGGATGTTGTAGAAATGGAGAAAGCAGCCACTGTGAAGGAACCACTATGTAAACAAAAAATTCATAGGAAAGTTTTAGATAAAGGTGTACCTGAAGATGCCATGCCAGGAATTAAAAACATAAAAGTGGGTATAAAAATAAGAGAAAGGTTTTTTAATCTTATTATTTGCAGGAAGGCTTGCCCCCTCTGCCATTGTCAGGTATGCTTAATAAGCATGGAGGTAAAGTCAGACTGACATTTAAACTAGAAAGTGACCAATTGTGGCTCAGTACCAAGGAACGTACTGAAAAACTGCCCATGGGATCAATTAAAAGCATAGTTTCTGAGTCAATTGAAGGGCATGAGGAATATCACATATTGGTAATTATCAACATTGAATAAGTTTGATTTAACAAAAACTTTTTAAAGGGTTTACAACTAGGGCCTACAGAAGCGTCAAGATATTGGATATACTGGGTGCCTGCACAGTATGTAGATGCAATTAAAGACGCAGTTTTAGGCAAATGGCAGTACTTTTGACTTTATCAAGCCAGCCAAGCTAACAGTATTGAGATCAACAGGTTTAATTTAATTTTTATGTATGGGCAGAGATTACATTAATCTTTAACATGCATCATGACTTAAAAGGGAATCAATATATTTTTTTCAAACTTTTAGTTTTTCATATGGAATTTAGTATGTTATTGTAGGTTTGCTTTTGTGATATTGATCATTGATATTGTTAGCATAACTGCTTTGAATTCAAGTGATGAACTCAATATTTGTGATGTGTGTTGATTTGGTAAAGTTGACACTAAGTTCCAAACACGTTTATATATTCAAAAATTGCTTTTTTAGTGATTTAATGTTAACTGTATCACATCAACAAATCTGTAATATAACCTAATTTTTATAAAAACTACAAATGATTTCTCATTTGCTATGTGTTAATTAAGATTTTCAGTTGTATTGTGTGATTATTATAAAGCAAATAAATAGTTTTTATGTTCTAAAAAAAGGAAACGTTTTATTTCTATCATGCTTTGGGTTTTTCTCGTTATTAACTTCTTTAGTAACTTACTTATGCTTCTTTATTAACTGTACAGTTACAGATAATTTGAATATTCCCGCTGAAAGGTGTATTGGCAGCCTTTGAGAGCTGTCAATTCTGTCAAAAAATTAGTACAAATAGGAACGCCAAACTCAACGTTGTTTTCGCGGGTTTATTATTATTTATTATTGTAATATAAATTAAAATGCCTCCCAAGAAACGTGATAAAGACCTCGAGTCTGCAAAGAATCCAAGAATAGATCACATCCAAGCAGATCATGAATTATTTCTACAAGCATTTGAAAGTAAGTTACTTGACCCCATACTTGGGAAAACACAGATTAAATATAAACACTATTCTTCACAGAACCCACCCAGATTTATAGATACCTAAGAACAAGGAATATGTGTTCTGTAAGTAACAACTGAAATTAGATTAAAAAACTAAATTTAAAGCATACTTCTATTGCAGCCAATTTTTCTAAATAGAACTCTGACTTACATGCGATATCGGATGTCAAGAAGCCATAAATCTCGCATCAATTTCAAAGTAGACTCACTTCTAGAAAAAGTAACTTCAAAGCAAGATCATTCCACAATCCAACCAGGTTTTATAAACATAACATTCTTAGGATTCACTGATAAGAGTCTTGATACTAATGCTCAAACTGCTCAGGTTGAAACTGTTCTTTTAAAAATAAACCACAAAAAACGTAAAGATAGCTCAGCTCCTAGTTTGCAAATTTCACTGGGAACGGCCGAAATTCCCGTAAATCCCGATGAACAACAACTGCCTCAAACAGCCCCCACCATTAGTGTTTCAACAGAATCTTTCAATCCCTCAAATGGGCCTTTAGCAAAATCTTATATATTTCTATTTCGCGTTAAAATTCTCCCTGAGAAATCTAATTCCGAGGAGGAAGAACCCGCATTAAAAAAACGTAAATCAAACGGCACGTTGGACACAATCAATGAAAAAATTTACGGAGCTGAGCTTACCGTTTACGATAAATACAATCGGTGCTATTTAGCTGACGGTGATTACGACGTTGTACTTCAAGATTTTACCTCACTTACGAAATCTTCCCCTAAAAAACACTCAAGTTGGGAAAACGGCAACGATATCATCGACACCTGCGGCAATATCAATTTAATGATGAAAGGGGACGCGTTGTTAAAATTTAAGCTTAACTGGTCCCCGGAAGCTTGCGCTCGGTTCGTCGACCGTCCCAAACTCTACCCTCTCAGCGAAAACAAAGAAAATATTCCAGTAGTAAACAACAGCGACAATAAGGAGAAACTTCAAATCGTGTACCAATTTGTATACAACAACAATTCGCGTCAGCAAACTGAAGCTTGCGAGGACCTCCACTGCCCTTGGTGCAGCATAAATTCGGACCAGCTGTACACCTTGTTGAAGCACCTGAAACTCTGTCATTCCCGCTTCACTTTCACCTACGTCCCTATCTCTGTGGGGGCCCGCATCGACGTCGCCATCAACGAGCTGTACGATGGCTCGTACACCGGCTCGCCCCACGATCTCATCTTGCAGCCCACCATATGCGCCTTCTCGCGCAACGGCCCCGTCCGCAGGGCTTCAGTGACCCACATCTTGGTGTGTCACCCGAAGCGGGCCAAACCCAGCCTCTCCGAGTTCCTCGAACTCGACGACTGCGAGTACGACGGCCAGAGGCCTTTCATCACCGGCCACAACCGCCTCTACCATCATACCACCACCTGCTTGCCTATTTACCCCAAGGAGATGGATGTGGACTCAGAGGGCGAGAACGACCCCGAGTGGCTGCGCAACAAGACTATGATGATGATCGACGAGTTCACCGACGTGAATGAGGGCGAGAAGGAATTGATGAAGATGTGGAATTTGCACGTGATGAAATACGGGTTTGTCGGCGACTGCCAGATACCATTAGCTTGCCAAATGTTCGTTCAGCACAAGGGAAAAGAACTGCTATTGAAAAATCTCTACAAGAATTTTGTACTCCATATGGGGAGTTTGTTTGATTTTGGCTTGGTCAGTGCTGTGAGTTTGTACACGACGATCCAAAAGCTGCAGGAGATGGTGGGTGAGACAGGAGCCATTCGCAATATCCTGAAGGAGTCCCGGGAAGCGCAAATTGACAATTGGTCCAAATATGGGAGCGTACAGATGAGCGATAAACCGAGTACTAGCAAGGGAAGGAAGACTGGGAATGTGGGGATGCAGCGGAGAAAAGGGACCCCAACACCGTCGGAGACTCCCATTCGGAGGAAATCGGTCGGAGGTGAACAAACCACCAGGAAGCGCATTTCCCTCTCGTTGAAAGACCAAAAAAGCAATGCCAGCTAGTATGTATTATTTGTGTGATATGATTTTATTGTCCGTTGAAGTTTTTGTATAGGAAGACTGTAAAGTATTGAAATAGCCGGACACTATTTCTGATAAATTATTGACTTGTATACCTAATTTTTAAAGTCTGCATTTTAATCATCAAAGGCTTTTCGCTAGCTTTAGGTTGTAATTATTTTTAATGATTCACTGCCTTAGAAAATTGGCCTTCTAGTCAAATAATTTTTACCCTATAATTGTTTTCTTTCTTTTCAATGCTTGATGGCAATTAAATCTTGGCTGTTTTTATTTTCTTACACGATTTTATTTTAAAATTTAAGATGTTAATTGTCATCTGTTCGTTTTAGTAAATTTTTAAACCATCCTTATAGGGATATGTATATTTAACTAAAGCATACCAAGTGTATTCATTAGTTAATATTTGGATTTTTAAGCGATACGCTTTGGCGTGGTTTTAGTGTAATTTCTTTTCACACTGTCATATTAAGTGTTCAGTTTTGCACAAATAGGAAATTGAATGAATCCAAAATTGTAAAATTGGCGGCGTATTCGTGGCACATTTTTTAATGTTAATTATTTCCCTAAGTGCTGTATATTTTAGTAATACGTGTTCAATTTATCCTTGTAGTTTTTAATATTATGTATATTGTAAGTTATTTACTTTTTTAATTATATTGTTTTTTTCAAGTACGTACGAGTAACGAAATATTAACTCCATGTACCTAAAGAGTTTTTGATACAATTAGTTTTAAATGAAACACTTTAAAATTAGGATTTACATAGTAATTATGCCGTAATATAAAAAAACTGAAGAATTGAAACAGTTTTTGCTCAGTTTAAACTCATATTCTTTCATGGAGGATATTCCAGTTTGAATTTTATGTTGAAAACAGTTAATAAGTTTTTTATTCGTTTACTTTTTATTTTTTAATATCTTCGGTGGCTGAAGTGCATATTTTTTTGTATTCCGGTTTTGGAGTAGGCGAAAATTGTATTACCGCTCTTCACTTCAAAAACGTGTCAAAATTCGTTTCTTTTGACAGTGCATCTTTCGGCAAAAAATTCAAAATGTCTGGTAACAGAAACAAGAAGAATGGTAAAAAAAATAAGTTTTTTAATATACCTGGTGAGAATAAATGTACTTACCATTTCTCTTGTTTCCTTTACATCAACCCCATTTATTAGAAGTACTCCAGGTTAAGTCAGTAAAATTAGACACTAACAAAGGTAGCACCAAAGACGGGAAACCGAATGCAAAATCCGAAGACAATTTACGTAAAAGCCGTAGATTAAACATTTTAAAAAATCAACATGAAGGTTTAAGCGAAGGTACTGCAAGGGTAACACTGCTTTCTCCATACTCTGTAAGTATAACAGATTTGTCTTGCTTAGCTAGAAAGCTGTCTGATGAAGTTTAAAACGTTGTCGCTAAATAACGAAGGTGAAAATAATGCACCAAGCACGAGTTCCAGCATGCTGAAAAATAATATGGAGGAATATTGTGTAAACTGTGCGTTTCCTATTGGTGCCAAATTAACACTTCTTTATAGTCGCAAAACGTTAGTAATATTACTGATGAGGAACTTCCGTTAACCATGGAATATTATCCTGAAGGAAAAGATGATGCAGCTGAAAAGATGGACGATGAATTTGCTTGCACATACAAGTATTACACTAAAAACACAAAATCGATCAAATTTACGAACCAAGTAACAGTTCTATATTTCAATGGCGAAGATATTCTTTGTATGTACTCATTTGTTTCTGTGTATTATTTTAAGTAACTATTTTAGGCGAATCAATGGAGCCTCTTAAAAAAGAGCAAGACCAACAATTACGAAATAAAGAAATGCGGAAAGAACACCTACTGAGCAAAGGGCAAATCGACAACTTATATTTGTTTTAAAATAACGTGTTTACATATTGAAATGTTAAAACTGTATTTATACAATGTATTGTGTTAATATACTGCACGGTAATATTGTACATATTAGTTCATTTCGTCAAAGTTTGACGTTATTTTCCATAAGACTAACTCCTTGACTCGATCATAATGAAAATATTGTGGAAAGTCCAACGGAACTTCTTCTTTCTGAATGTTCTCGAGCTTTTCCAGACATTCTAGAAAGTAGTCGTAACACGGTGCAACAGCATCACAGTCAGCAATTGTAAAAACAAAGCGTTTTTCTAACGCAACATACACAGATCTTTTGGGAGGTTTGGATAAAACGTGGCCAACGGTTTTAACAAAGGCCTGAGTGATAACGTCGTCATAAACAACTGAAAAAATCAATTAAAATTTTCCAACAAAAAAATAATCACTCACCATCTGCCGCTATTACGATTGGAATTTTTTCAATTGAAGTGACGATTTCTCGGGGAAGCACCTGGGACATAAAATCCAGTTCCAAGACTGTGATTGGATGTTTGGTTAAATGTACATTTCGTAATACATTCCCTTTGATAAGTTTCAATAATCCGCCTTTATTAATATCTGTAAGAAACTTAAAATATTTGCATGATGTTGATTTTGTTGAGCAAATATTAGCGCTTACCAGTGCAAAAAACCGGAGTGAATATTCCTGCGACTATGCTACTCAATCCGACTCCGGATCCTAATTCCAAAATGTAGTGATTTTTTTTTAACTTTGAGGAGTTATGTAATAACCAGTCGGCAAGTAAAAGCGCTCCTCGCCATATTTGTAATCCCACCAAACCAAGAACTGTACTTTTACTGTGTTCTACAAAGTGCATTTTTTAAATGTTTTCATGGAGATGGTTTACCTACCGATTTCAATAATCCCAGTTTTTTCTTTAGACTTTTTTCGGGAAACTATTAAGTCACCGTCTGAATCCACTTCTGGGGGTGGTGGTGGAAATTTGAACTTGAATTTTGATACCACATCTTAATTTAAAGAAAATGAAAGTTAAACAGAAAAAATTGTTTTTTAAACTTACTGTTTTTATCTATCATGGGTTTTGAGGATGATTCATAATTAAATTCACTGTATAATTCTGAGGACACTTTATAGTCTTCATCTTCCATCTGAAAAATATTTTCTCAAGAGAAAGAACAAACTAAACAACTGACTTGCTGAGTCGTTTGCCAGTTTTTCTCAAAAATTAAAAATAAATTTTGACCTATTTTAATTATATTTTATATTACTACTCATTGAGTGATCGTAGCAGCTGCTACTGCTGGCAGTTTTGAGATAAACAAAATTTATCAAAAAAGTATATGAAATTATTAAATTTAAATTCAGTGTTTATTATGTATTGTATAAAAATAGTGCCCACATTAGGTAAAAAAGAAAATTCTAAGTAACAGAACTTTAGATGAGCGAGAATGTTCAAATTGTTAAATTTTGCAACTAAATTGTGCTTTATTATTTTATGTTAAATAGTAACAATTTTCTGTTCAGTTCGCTCTCAAAGAACTGAAAAATTAATCAAAATAATTTAAAAATAGTTTAATAATCCTGATATAAAGATAACCTTTCTAGGGTGTAAAAAAACAAGATACTTATTAGTGTTATGCAATAATAACATTCTAAAATGCAAGCATTTTTTAAAATTATTATGGTACAATCAGATCCCGTTTTAAATATTCTCGCTGGCCATAATCTCCTGATTATGCCATTGGTACATAAATGTTTAAAAATTACAAATTGTTGTTTTTTATAATTATTGCTGTGAACTTGTAAAACCTAAATAAAAAAAAAAACATTTGAATATGTAATTACCAATCTGTAATATGTAGGTACATCCTACTTTAACGTAAGTTATACTTCGTGAAAAACTTAGTTAAGTAATTAGAAAAATTTACAGTATGTCCCCGGATTGGGTTTACAAGAGGAAAAAAAATATCTTTGATTTAACGCCAAAACTGCAAATGAAAAACATTTTTTGCTTCACCTGAAACGAACATATCTGTACTTAAAACTTCATTATTCAGATTCAGTGAAAAGAAAGTTAACTTTTCTCTTGATTTTCGACTTAGACTAATTTTTTTCTATTTCGGTGTTAGAATAAGTCTATTCCAGCACCCAAATGACGTCATTTGAGTGCTGGAATAAGTTGTTGGCGTTAATTTAATTTTAGTGACGGACTTTCTTCACAAATCATTTTCAAATGTGAAAATAAGAATTATTTTTATTTTTTACAGCCGCCTAAAATTATTCCACATAAATGTCACCAACCGTCGCAAAATTCTCTAGAAAAATAAAATAAAATTTTTGTTTTTTAATTTATAAAATGATACAGGCTGTTTCACATAATTTTACGAGGCCTGCGCCTGTAAGATGCAATTAATAATACATATTCCGATACGAACTCGATTACAAATTTTGAAGAATTGGATAATCTTCTCTAGCTTGTTCACCCTTTCAAGAATTATAAAATTTTTAGAGACTGAGTAAGTTAGATAAACTAATAGAATCATATTCATGCCGTCTCTTGGTAGAACAAGTGATAATTGTTTCTGAAAAACTGCAGTTTATGGCTATTAATGAAACAGTGATTAGTTTGTCATGGTTTCCAAAAATTAAATAATTAAATGTGTATTTTTTGTATCTAGTGTTTTGTGATTTTTGTATATTTGGTTGCGTACATTAGGCGTAAGCCTCGTAAAGTTGTGTGAAACACCCTGTATAAAGCGGCAAAATAGAAAAAAATAGTATAAAGCACTTGTTGCAGAAGGTTCTTCAAGCACTCATTTGTTTCAAATTTGTACTTGAATAGATACCTTCTGCAACTTGTACTTTAATATACTATTCTTTCTACTGAGTTAATATAATGAAGTTTCAATTAAGTAGATTTACTCGTTTCACGTAAAGCAGTTTTGGCGTAAAATAAAAGATATTTTTTTTTTCCTCCTGTAAACTCAATCCGGGAACATACTGTATAGTAAAAACCAGTTTCGAAGATATATTTACAAGCAGCAATTTAATTTTAATTAGGTATTTTACTAATTGTTAAGTGAATTTTACAATTGTAGCCTTTTTATTGTTGTACTTTTAACTTTTACAAAACCATGACAGAGTTAACGTCCGGGATTGGGTTTAGGAATTAAGTATGTGACTTGACTTGACCTAGCCAGTATTTTATAAAAACTGCTTAAATCAAATCCAAAGGTTCTGATGTTTCATCGCAAATTTGAAATAACTACAAAGGAAGCAATTTTATTTGTGTTAATGTGCTACCTTACTAAGTTGTAAAATAAGCTGGGGTCTCTTTTGTTTACGGAGGGGAAAGCTGAAGAGAATTTATTGGGTATTTTCACTTCAATTGGCTGAGAAGAGAACTAATAAACAATAATGCTTTCAATTGTAACACTAGGAAAAATTCTCACCCTCTCAGCGAAAACTAACCTTCAATGTTTATGAAAAAGTCATATTTTTAGCCGAGTCGATATTTGGTAGTCAGGCGGGCAGCAACTTCACAGCGGAAAATGCGAAGGAAAAATCAGAATGTATCATTACATAAAATCGCTGTTTTATGCCCAAGGTAAAATCCCGATTTATTTTTGATTTGACGATTTGACGTCACAGATGTCACTAAACGTCATTTTGAACGACCAATCCGATCACCCCACGATTTGTGCCACGTTGTGGTGTCATCATCGTCTGCCTCTCACTTCACGCTTGTCGAATAGTCGACGATTGTTAATAGGGGAAGTGAGTTGTATTAAAAAATTAAGATGAATCTTCTTTCGGCTTTTTGTTTAATTGCAACGGCTGCATCTCTGGGTTGGGCTAGTGAAGAAATTAAGAGCGACGAAGGTGTTTTAGTGCTCACTAAATCCAACTTCAAACAGGCCATCACCGACAACGAATTCATCCTTGTGGAGTTTTGTAAGTACGAGGTTTTTTGCCGAAAACATGTATTTAATTACTGTTCTTCATCACTAATAAGTATTTGTGCAAAAAGCGTGAAATTGGGATTAATGCAATAAAAAACATTGAGTCGCCAACTTCAGGCCGGATGACATTTGGGTTAACCTTCCCCAATATTTTTGATTAAAATGCATTTATCAAAATAATTTCATTCTTTGTCATTGAAAGATTACCCGACCGGTTACTCATCTTCACTTATTTTTTGTTAATATGAAAGGTCAACAACCCTTCGTAAGCTCAGCTGCCGCGTGAGCATCTACGTGTGAAAGTTTTACGTTGGTTTGCCGGTAACTCGTAGGTATTTCTCATTTGGTTTCGTATTTCTTTGTTTATTAGAATTTTCTTTAAGCACAGTCGTGTTATTAGATTGCTAGTATCAACTTCATGTGCAGACAGATGTTGCGTAGGAGCGAAGGATAGGAAAAATGTCACCAATTATTACTTCAATACGAATGGTGCAATTCAGATGAATACCATAGGCCAGAATTAATGACAATTTTAATTAAGTTAATTGATAAGCAGATTACTTATCAAAGCCATATTCGGTGATAATAAATAAGTTGAAAATATGACGTGGACCCACCTCTGACCCTTCGAAAGCATATGCAGAAGAATTCAAGGGAGTTATGCAGTTTTCATACTTTTAGCTTATTCCATTTTTCAAATTCACACTATTTTTTTTTCATTTCTATGGAAAGTACTCTTTCATAAAATTAATATTACGCTGAATGTGAGTTGCATAATTTTCTTCTAATAAGATGTAATTACACGTGTAGTCTTGAGTCTTGAATCAGTAAAGACAGAATATCTTAAAACTGACTCGTATTAATTTTGTACGGAAAGCTAGAATGAATGCTAGAAAAATTGAAATTTCTGTGTAGGTAAATTAATCTTTTTTTACATTATTGGGCGGAAGAATAACAATTAATCCAACATTAAACAAATTTTTTTTCGCAAAACCGTAACCACCAACGTTGTAAAATCATTCTCATGTGGGAAAAAAACGATTTTTTTGTATCCCAGATATAAAGGGAAGTAATTAAATTTAAGCTACAGAGAACTTTGCACAACTGCTTTCATACTTGTCAATTTTATAGCTTAATGATAACTTTTGTGCACAAGAGTGTAAGTGAAATTTTTTACTTACTAGTACAGTTGGAGACAAAATACTTTGGTCATCACTTTTCTGACACTTTAATGTAATTCAAGCTTTAACGTTAAAATGAATGACAATTTCAAATTAATGACAGCTATTATGTTTTCCTATCAAAAATATGTACAACTTGTCAACTATGATTGACAGTAGCTAAAAATAAGGTTAACAGTCCTAAAGCATACTTTACAATTTAATGTCACTCAAGTGACATTGACGACCAAAGTATTTTGTCTCCAACTGTACCTACTAGCTTTAAAACTTTCACATTTGAAAGTTCTGAGAACTTTTTTTGATTAGTTTTTGTCATATCATCTCATTTTTAATAGAGAATATAAATTGTTATCTCCATAATGCGTTTAAACCACTGGGGTTAGTTATAGCATTAATTGATTTTTATTGAAAAATTAACGTAAATCCATCATTAGACCAGGCAAAATTTCCTAATAACTAGTAGTAGTATAACTAGTACTAGTATTAGTAGTAGTACTAATACCATTTTTTTATCTTCAAATGAATTTTTGGAGCCCGACTGTAGTTGATTAAAACTATGGTAAACATGTCATTTAAGTCGTGTTACTACAAACGGGCATTAAAAGTGCATGAGTTAAATATAGCAGTGACTATAAATAGAATTAATGTGAATTATTGTAGTAAATCCTGTAAAGTTAAGCTGTCTAACTGGTGTGTAATCATTTACGTTCGTAATTGTATGTGCAATATACCATGTGGACTTTCATCATAAAATTGAATTCAATATTAGTGTTAAACATCATTTATAAAATGCTTGAAACCAAGTTCTTAATGTTATATACATGTTACCATTTGCACCCTGTGGTTACATACGAAAAGTTTTTTAAAGTGTATCCAGTGAGTTTTACGTCGACTGTCCCCGTACCAGAGAAACTAGTGTATTTTAAAAAAATAATAATAATATTTGTTCAAATTCACTGTGACATTTGTATAAGTATATGTTTTTTTTACACATTTCATGTAATCGATCGTTGTTCGTTCCAAGGTTAAAAGTCCACACGCAATGAAGCGAAACATATAGAGAAAATAACAATATATTGAAAAAAACCTATTTGTTTTAGATGCTCCCTGGTGTGGCCATTGCAAAGCGTTAGCTCCTGAATATGTAAAAGCAGCGAAAGCACTTGCCGAGCAAGATTCTAAAATTAAACTAGGCAAAGTGGATGCCACTGAAGAAACCGAACTTGCTGAAGAACATCAAGTTAGAGGCTATCCAACTTTGAAATTCTTCAGAAACGGAAGTCCCATAGACTATAACGGTGGTAGACAAGCTGATGACATCGTCGCGTGGCTTTTGAAGAAAACTGGGCCACCAGCCAAAGAACTCAAAACTGTTGAAGAAGCCAAAGAATTCATCGATGCAAGCAACGTTGCTGTTATTGGATTTTTCAAGGATCAAACGACTGATAAAGCTAAAGCATTCCTGGCAGCAGCTGCTACTATTGACGATTATCCCTTCGGAATTACCTCTGAAGATAGCGTCTACAAGGAATATGAAGCCGAATGCGGATCCATCGTTTTGTTCAAAAAGGTTAAACAGATAAAATAATTTTTGTTACAATCTAACAGACTTGTTCTAGTTCGATGAAGGAAAAGTTCTTTTTGAAGGTGAAGCCACTGAGAAGAATATCAAGAAATTCGTTGCCGGTAACTCTTTGCCCCTCATCGTCGAATTCAACCATGAAACAGCCCAAAAGATTTTCGGTGGTGACATCAAGAGCCACCTTTTGTTGTTCTTGAACAAGGGTGAAGATCACTTTGAGAAGGTCGCTGAAGCTGCAAGATCCGTTGCCAAGCCCTTCAAAGAACAAGTCTTGTTCGTCACCATCGATGCTGCTGAAGAAGATCATCAAAGAATCTTGGAATTCTTCGGAATGAAGAAAGATGAAGTTCCGGCAGCCCGTCTTATCAAACTTGAAGAAGACATGGCCAAATACAAACCAGAAACTGATGAATTGTCTTCTGAAAGTATTAAAAAATTCGTTGAAGATTTCCTCGCTGGTAAACTCAAACAACATTTGCTCACTCAAGATCTTCCTGAAGATTGGGATAAAGAACCAGTTAAAGTTTTAGTAGCTAGTAATTTCGATAGTGTCGTATTCGACGCAGACAAAGACGTTTTGGTCGAATTCTACGCTCCCTGGTGCGGTCATTGCAAGCAGTTGGCCCCTATTTATGATAAAGTGGGCGAACATTTCAAAGAGAACAAGAACATTGTCGTCGCGAAGATCGATGCTACCGCTAATGAACTTGAACATACCAAAATAACGAGCTTCCCTACATTGAAATTTTATCCCAAAGGTGGGAATAACGTTATTGAATATAACGGTCCAAGAACATTCGAAGGTTTAGTTAAATTTATCGAATCCGGTGGTGTTGACGGTGCTGGTGTTGACGAGCCTGTCGAAGAAGAAACAGAAGATGATGACTCACCAAGAAAAGATGAGTTGTAAATTATTAGGTACTTAGTTTTACTAACATTTCTAAATTTACTCATTTTTGTATATCAAAAATTTTACGCATTTACGATTTTCTGTTCTCGGTTTTGTAGGTACCTATACAATTTGAACTTCCCAAATGTTTTATTTGTGCCTCCATTTAAGGAGGATTTGTGAGACTGGTTGTGCAATTGATATCTGCCTGACTTTAACAAGCAAGTTCTTTATTAACATTCCTTTCTTTTTCTATATTAAATTGTTTTTGTATATTGCTATTTCGTGTATTTATTTTTTATTCACTTCATAGATGATATTTTTCTACTGATTATGTTGTAGCAATTTAGGTTAGAGCACAAATGGCAGATTATGTTGTGTGTTTGTGTGAGTGTATATTTTTAACATTAAAGAATTGTAAACTAAGATATTTTTTTGTGAATTACTGTAAGGCGAAGCTGAAACAAATAAATGAAATTGTATGTAAAGGTTTAAAACTTTTCTCTTATCACCCAAGATCTAAATTATTCAGACCTATTACTTTTTAAGCAAAATAATAACATTTGGGAACTTATTTTCCATGGCTCATTGTATCTACATACAGTCAAGTGCAAGATTTTGGTTCTCAATGTCACTAAATAAAAAATATTCTTTTATGTTGGAAATTTTGCAATTTACCCTTTGATTTTTCTGAGTCAAAAATAGTTTAAATGCCAATTGACTTATTACTGCTGAAATTATGTTACGAATTTCAAATTACATACAAAAATAAATTTATTAAAAAAATGACAGTGAGTACAGGTACAGCTTGAGACAAAATGCTTTGTTCGTCACTTTTCTGACACTTTAATGTAATTCAAGCTTTAACGTTAAAGTGAATGACAATTTCAAATTAATGACAGCTATTATATCTTTCTATCAAAAATATGTACAACCTTGTCAACTATGATTGACAGTAGCTAAAAATAAGGTTAACAGTCCTAAAGCATGCTTTACAATTTAATGTCACTCAAGTGACATTGACGACCAAAGTATTTTGTCTCCAACTGTACAAAATCCTTTGCAGGCGGCTGTTTATTACCGAAACGTAAGTTTTGCCGTTAGCGTAGAATAACATAACGTAACTACGTAAGTCGTTGATGAAAATGACAAGATTATGGGTATAAAGGTTATATTCATATAAGCAGTAGTTATTTTTTAATTTGCCAGTTTTATTGTGGTTTCATTGCCTAATCCATTAACCAGATATTTTTATTTAATTAGTATTTGTGAATTTCTTCCCTGGAAAATGGCTCTGAGAAATAGTGTTCGTCGAAGTGGTCTCTTAATTTCCAATTATTTTAGGAGTTATTCAAGCAGTGGGTCCCTAGTTAATGTCGCAGTTAACGAAAAAACTGGGGTTGCAACGGCAACCCTTAACAGACCCCCTGTAAACAGCTTAAACTTGGAGCTTCTCACTGAAATATCAAACACTTTGACCCAACTGGAACAAAACAAGTGTAGGGGGTTGATTCTAACTTCAGTAATTTTTCTAATAACTTAGCAATAGGTTTTTTTACTGTGTATTTCTAGAGCTCCAAGAGTGTCTTCAGTGCCGGCTTGGACATACTTGAAATGTACAAACCAGACCCAAGTCGCCTAAAAGAATGGTGGACTGCTTTACAGCAAACTTGGATTAAACTTTACGGCTCCTCATATCCCACTGTTGCTGTTATCAATGTAATGTGAATTAATTATAAGGGCTTTCAAATTTTACTTCTGCTTAAATTAGGGACACGCTCCAGCTGGGGGCTGTTTGCTTTCCTTATCCTGCGAATACAGAATAATGTTGAATAATTTCACAATTGGTTTAAATGAGACTCAACTTGGAATTGTGGCTCCACCATGGTTCATTGCCTCCATGAGAAATGTGATTGGGACCAGACAGACCGAATTGGCTTTAACTAGTGGCAATCTTTTCACAACTGACGAAGCTTTGAAAATTGGAATGATTGATGAGGTTGCGGCTAGTAAAGAGGATGGACTCGCAAGAGCGGAGAAGTTTTGCGGAAGATTCGCTAGAATTCCCCCTGCTGCAAGGGTCAAGTCAAAGTTGGGAGTGCGTGGGGCTGACATTCAAGTAAGTTTATTTTTGCAAACCTAAATTCATCCATTACTCAATGTCACAACCAAATATTTAAACATTGAGTATTTAATCAATTTTGCATTTTCAATTGATTATAAAAAAAAATAATTTGTCTTTGTTCCAGGACCTCACCAACAATTTACAAAAAGATTATGAATATGTGGCTCAGTTCGTCTCTCAGGAAAGTGTGCAAAAAGGATTAGAAATGTATCTGCAATCATTGAAGCAGAAACAAAAATAGCGATTTTATAGCTGATTGAATTACAATCTATTTTTGAATACTTTTTTATGCAATAGTGTAACATTTATTATACCAAACATATTAAAGCTTGAGTATGTGAAAGTACTTTTGTGAAAATATAAGCACTATTATTTTACTTATTCCAAGGCTATAATATCGTCCTCGAGGTCAGGCGCGTATTCTTTATTTAAATCCTCAAATTCTTGTTTTTGGATTTCAAGAAAGTGATTGATTTCCAGTACCTTGCCTCTGTTGCGTTTGATCTCATCTCTGAAAATTATAGATATATGTTTGGAGCAATCAAAAGGCACAACTTACGTGTTTAAATTCTCGATTAAATCATTTAGCCAATCCTTGGCGTTAGAAATCAACGTGTCTTCTCTCGTATCAATAATTTGCATGTGCATATCGTGACTTGTTGCTAATGCGTTGTGTAAAAGATCTTTATCTGCCATAAGCTGTTAATCTCATTTAAATTATATAATAAGGGAAGTCCTTCAAATTACCGGTTTGAGAACTGTGGGTACTTCAATTTCTTCATTCAAATTGGCATTTGTTTGAAACTTGGTAGCCAAATCACCAATATTTTCAGCGTAGCTCACTTCCAGCTCTCTAATTTGAGTGAAAAAAGCTTGCGATGATTCAATGAAATTATTAACAAGCTCTGTTATGTTGTGTTCAAAAGTTTGGTTGACCTCTTCCATTTGTTCGTAAAGTTCTAGTTCTAATTTCATCAGCGCTTTCCAAACTTCGTGTAACATTTCATCATACTCCACCACGAATGCATCGCATTTGTCTATAAACTCGTCATAATTAATTTCATTTGAGTTTAATTGGTTTTGTACGTTTTTTATTTTTAGAAACACTATTGCCTTCTTCTCCAGAAATATCTCCATGTGTTTCTACAAACAAAATTTAGGGATAAATCAATTTTAATACGTTGCAGTTGTAGGTAGTACAATGCTTTCATCTTGATTGTCCTTGTTTGCGTCTTCAACGCATTTTAAGAACTGATCATATTCGGTCTTGCGAAGAACATACTGCTGCTGGCCATTTTCAAATATCTGTTTACACAATTCCATGAAGTTCTCTTCGTATTCGTCAAAGAATTCTTGCGCGTCTTCACCGATTTCCAACAAATTTACTCCATCAGTGTCATTTGCAAATAAGGAGTCGAACAGATGACGAGTGTTTAAATACTCCACAAAACTGGAGGCGTGAAGTTCGGCATCGGCCAACTCTTGTTCCCGAAGGGCTGTAATTTCCCGTTCTTGTTCTTCTTTCTCCAACAATGCTCGTAGTTTTGCACTTTGAAACAATACTATTCCACCGCGTTTAATCTAATAATTACAGTTACCTGAAAGTTTCTTGTCCAAGTTCCCGTTCTGAATCGTAGATTAATTTATATTCGTAGTAAACGAGTTGCGGTAAAAAAGCTGCAATGAATAAACGAAAATCTTCATCTTCGGCACAGGGATTCCCCACTAAGTTTAATGATTTTAAATTGCCGAATCGCCGCAAATACAAAATCTATAAAATATTTGTAAATTTTAGTTGTGTAATGCATTTTTTCATTTTACGTTATCCAAGTCGTCAATCTTGTTTCTTCCAATACTAAAAACTGTTAATTTTGTTAAAGTGTCCATGTTTTCCAAAACGGTGATTTCATTTTCATACAAACTTAATTTTTCAAGGTTTCGAAGCTCGTCTAAATTTTCGATTCTAGCGATTTTGTTGAATGATAAGTTTAATTCAATTAAATTCACCAAACTTTCCAAATTTTCTATTTTTTCTAATAAATTATTGTTGAGATTTAATTTTGTTAAAGAGTTTAAGACCCACAAATGGTCAATTCTAAGAATATCTACAGGTTATAATAAGCCTTTTAAAATTTGAATTTAAGTTTGTACAAGAACGTATTACTCAAAAATTCCAATCGAATTTCTGTAACATCTTCAAGAGGTATTTTTTCGATCTCCGCCAAACGACCTGCTTCACCTTTAGGACCTTGATCTTTAATGCATTTTTCCAGAAGGGCATTGTCTATGACTTTTGGTTCTTTTAATTTGCAAGGATTCATTTTTATAAATCTTTATCACCACTAATTCGATATAATAAATAACAACTTTTCAAGCATTCCTGAAATTATTGATGTCACAGTGACTGTAAATGTCTTGTTGCCATGGATTTAAATAATCATAGTTTCCTCGAGTTCACTTTAAAAATTCTTGACAAGGCGAAGCCGAGACCGCAACTATTTTATTTTACTTTCACGACATAATGTACCTTTGTAGGTACAAAATGCTTATTGCTTTTTAAAAATAAATTTGGCTAACTCCGAAAGAATCCAATTGATAACAATTTTAAAAATAGAACATTCACCATCAAGTTTTTAGTATTTTGGATAGTGTCTGTTATTTTCTCTTTCTTATTATTATTAGGTATTTATCTGTTACCTATTTACATAAATGAGGTGACATGTGATATTTATTAATTGTATCTTTGTGTAACAGTAAGTGCGGACGAACCTTTGGGTCATTACAATGATGGATAAGAATTAAATAATAAAAAGTTTTTTTACTTGGGGAAAAATAATTCATTTGACTTTAATTTTTGAACTACACCTCGTATATTTTTTATCATGTGAGACATGACGTATCTTGTTCATTACAAAGTACACAATAAAATAATTTAAAAAATTAATTAAATGATAAGATAGTGACTAACTATTTTAAAATACACGTTATACAAATTAGTTGTTTGAAATAAAATTGTAATTATTTTCTTAGGAAAATTAAAATTTATGAATTGAACATTGCGCTTGCGCTTTAATTTTTACCTATTTTGACAAGTGACAGTGACAGAAGTCAAGTGACAACAAGAAAGTGCAATCGTGAAATTTAATTTAGAAATTAAAAAATGTCATTTTTTGGAACTGCCCTTGGTGGAAATCCCTTTTCGACACCCGTAGGATCCAGAATTGGTAAGTTTTAGTATGAATTGCCGTACTTTATTTAATTTTTTCCATTGTTAAAATCGATTTAATAAAACGTAAATAGAACTAGAAACCGGTGCTGGCATTGTATTTTATTGTTTAGATTACATTGCTTATGGTTTTTGCTGTCTGATTCACCTACATCTGTTGATCAGATTGTTCAATTACTGTTTTTAGTAATATTTTTAAAATATTTCGTCATCGTTTCATGTGTAGGTTTTAGCATTTACATTTTGTTTGTCACAATTTGTCACAACTGTAGCGTGTTTATTACGTACCAAATTTGTTTATAATTATAACAAATAGGTGTGATTTACTAGTACTCTACATAAGCCATCAACTGAAACGTTTTATGCTTTCTTCACGGGGTCCTTTGAAAATTTGTCTATTTAAACTATATTTTTGTCTATTTAAAAAATACTTTGCCTTATCGTTTCAATAATCTCTTATTATGTATGTCACAACAGTTAGGAATAATACCTCTGTAATACCCGCATTCTTTGATAATTTTATGGAAGCAAAGTAAAGTTTTAAATATTTTTTATCGTTGCATTAAATGTACATATTTATTTATGGTAATCCGGATCAGATAATTAATAGGAATTATTTTTGCGTTCTAAATAACCTTTGAACAAAAACTATAAACAATTTAGATTCTTCTATATCACTTATTTACATGGACATTGAATGAGTATTTTCATTAAATGTTTAAGAAAATAACTGTATCTTTCGCTAGAACTAAAATAAGAACTAATAAAATTGATCAATTATGAATACTTTCGTAGACGACAAATAATTAAACAATAAATTTCGTAAGACATTTGTAAATATGTATTTAAACGAGATTCCAAACTTTCAGATAAAATTTTTTTCAAACAATAAAACTGTAAGTAAAGCAGATAACTCTTTAAAAGGTTAAAAAACACAAACCAATGTACTCCTCCTATTTTGTAAATTTTTTTTCTTATGAGTCACTTCTGTACTACATTTAAGAAGAATCTGTAATAACTTTT